GGAATTCACAGCTTGAGTTAGGTACCAAGCTCCTATACAAGGCATGGGGAGAGTCAAATGCCTAAGAATAGGAATCCCAAAAGCCAGCAAGTGGAATGAGGCACCATGTAAGCTTACCAATACAATGCAGAAGAAAGGAGTGTAACATAAGCCCCGCCCTTTGCGCTGGAAGGCAGTACCTATTTTCTGTTCCACTGTGTATAAAGTAATTAAATATTCACTAGAGCAGGGCCATTGTCCCAGGTGAATGCTCTAACCACTGAGCTATAGTGTCATTCTTTCCCCCTATGTGATCCAGTGAATATTTAGGTGTTGATACAAAGTGCAAGAGCTGCAATAGGAGAAAAGGAGAGCAATTCCTCATGCCCACTGTTAGAAGCCCTTACTTGGGAGGTGAGACCAAGACGTGGGTTGACATCACTGTTCCACATCACACAGAACTGGACCTTGAATATGAATCTCCCACATTGTGTGTGGGGTAGGGAAGTTGTTGTAATCTCTGAACTAGGGGTAAAAAGGCGGAGATCTGCCAACACCTCCTCATCCACATCCTGATCTGGTAGGCGTGGCCCGAGATGGCCTCTGAGAGAACTTATTGGGTTGGATCCCACAGGAAAGACAGGTGGGAGAACGCCTAGTTTGTGAATCCTGCCAGGGCTTAGGTCTGACCCAGCTATTAGATGTCAGGATATAAGTGGCTATAAGCATGACCATCAGCAGAAACGTGGACACCTGGGAAATGTATGTGCCTACGCAGGTAAGTGGCAGTTGAAAGCAGGTTTTGAGGATCTAAACAATGGATTTAAATACCTTAAGTAGCTGTTAGGCACCTAAATCCCTTTGTGGGTCTAAGAGGAGGCAAAAGTCTGCAGATTGAATGGGAAACTGAGAGAAAGAACCCAAATATTAACTCTGCCTTATATTGATATGTGTTATTATGACTGAAGCATTTTAGTGTTTGTTGCCCCCTGATTAGTATAAACTGACTTTAAAAAAAATACATTTGGTTTTTTATCATGCTTTTCTCCTCTTAATATCATTGAAGGGCAGAGTTAAGGATATTTGGGTGTCTTAACTGTGCTGTTCTTACCTTAATAGTGATTTCTTTTAATTGAAATTTTAACACTACTTCCTGGCTAGGTAAGGCTTGGCTTTGGGATTGTTACAGAATCTCTGTAACATAGTTTGCCCTTTTTATTGGTACATACTCAGAACCTTAACTCCATCTCCATTTTCCTGTACCAGCACTAAACAAGAAACTAGTAAGAGAATGCTACCATAGCATATGGCCAATGATGCAGTATTAACTTCAAATAATTTTTTTTCTTTTTTTAACTGTTAAGGACAGGCTTATCACTACATCAGAACAACTCCAAGTTCAAGAGGGTACCAGACAATTGAGCTGGGTTTACAGCTGTTTTGCATCACCCAGATAGTACAAAGGTACAGAAGTGTAGTGGAGAATCTGCCCCTTAATTGGTAAGTGACTAATTCAGGTAGAGGGCTGGCTTTGGAAGACAGCTCCTATGTGAAGTGGGGATGTGATAGGAAGAGTCTAGCTACAAGGCTGAGTATCTCTAGCAACAGTGCCATGGGGACCCTTTCTAGCACTGAAGTTACTATGCAGACAGATCAATTTTAAGAGCAGTGACAGCTGGCTCAACTACTCCACCAAAGATTTAAGTTGGTCAAAAATTTTCCATGGAAACAAATTTTTGTGACCCTTCAGGTTCAACACATTTGCATCAAATTGTAGGTGGGTTCCAAAGGAACTCTGCCTAGCAGGCAGCTGGGGAATCCCAGTTTCCCAGGTCCATGGCTCTGCAACAGCCTGACCATGCACTCTGCAGTGGGGTAGGGGACCTGGATGTCCAGGGACCTCTGGCTCTCCTGAGCACAGTTCACCACCGGTGCATGTGTGGCTGGAATTTTGCCCTCTGCAGGGACAATCTGGTGAAATCCTTCATCAGGCTCTTAATCCCAAATGAAGGGGGGTGCTTGACACGATTAGAACTGTGCTGTTAAGTGAAAGACATTGAGTTCTTGCGCATCCAGTTCCTAGAGCAGCAGTTCCCAATCTCTGAGTTGGGACCCCAAAAAAGTTTGAGACCCTGTTTTAATGGGTTTGCCAGGCCTGTGGTTAGACTTGCTAGGGCCCAGAACTGAAGCAGGAGCCCCTCCACCCGGCACTGAAGTCAAAACCTTAGCCCCTCTGCCCAGGGTCCAAACCCAAACCCCTCCACTCAGGCTGGTGGGGCTCAGTTTACAGGCCCCCTTCCTGCGCTTGGGCTTTGCTCCCCATCTGGGGCAGTGGCTCTTGGGTGGGCTCAGGCTTCAGTCCCTCCTCCTGGGGTCATGTAGTAATTTTTGTTGTTAGAAGGGGGGTCCAGTGCAATGAAGTTTGAGAACCACTATCCTAGAGCAAATCAGGCTGTGTTATGTGAGAGACTTATTAAAAACTATGCCAGGCAGAGGTGCTTAGCAGTAGGGTTATGGCTGGACTTGAAAAGGCAAGATCAGTATAAAAAAGGTCAGAGAAGAAGTCTGCAATTGTTAAGGAGAAGTTAAGATGGGAGCTTTTGTTCCATGGACATTTAGAAAGGCTAGATCTTGGAAATATTCTGGAGGAAGCAGCAGCAAGATTTGGATAAGCCTGCATGCATGGTGTTAAAGAGGGAGGACCGAATCATGTCTGACACCCACATGATTGTCCTGGGACAGTGTTGATGTCAGTGATGAGATAGGCAGGAAAAGCAGGGCTTGGGAGATGAGTTCAGCTTTAGCCATGGGAAGTTTAAATTGATGATAGCACACACAGGAGAACCTGTCTGAAAGACAGGCCAATATGAGGGACTGGACGGAGGGAGACAGGTTAGATGCAGACAGATGAGTGTGTGAGTTACCAGATTAAAGGAGGCAGCTGAAGTCATGGGAATGGATAAAAGCACCTAGAGACTGTAGATAAGAAAGCAGACTGGACCAAGGACAGAGCCTTGGTGGATACCCTATGAAGGGAGCAGGAAAAAGGTGGGAAAGAACACAGCAAATTAGACACCGAAGGAATAATTAAGAAGGTAGCCAAAAAACTAGAAAAGAATAGAGTCTCAGGGTATGTCTACACTAGCTCGTTAATTTGAGCTAGGTAGGCAAATCAGGCAAATAAGTTCTTAGTTCGGATTAACTTTAAACTGACGCATGTAGCCATGGGCAGTTCATTCAAAATAAGAGGTATTTTAAAATGGCAGCCGGACGGGAACATGCAAATAAAGCCCAGGATATTTAAATACCAGGATTCATTTGCAACTCCAGTTGCCTGATTTGCCCACCTAGTTCGAATTAACGAGCTAGTGTAGACATACCCTCAGAAGGTAAAGGAGGAACAGATTTCAAGAATGATCAATGTATAATCCATGATGCCAAAAACAGCCAAGGAGCAAAACTCAGTGGAACAGGTGGGAAAGAAGTGTGGAGTGGGAAGAGGGCAAGGTCATAAGAGATCTTGTTCCTTTCTTTTTTTATCCAACATTTTTATCAATATTTCAAACACCACTCTGATCAAAATAATCATTTTTTAAACAGCAAATGCCTTCCTTTAGAACAATGCAAAATGGAAACAACTTCAAAATGTTGACCTATTCCACAAAGTCATTTTTCTTATCTTTTTACCAGTTTTACTCATAGGCTTAAAGTTAGGCATGTGCATAAGGACTCTGACATATTGGGACCATAATAATGACATATTTGACTAGACTAGTGGTGCATCTAGTCCAGTATCCCATTTCTGAGGCTATGTCTACATTACAAGCCAGGGTATCATTCCCCTACTTGGGTTCATGTACTCGCACTAGGTCTCAAAAGCTAGTGTGAGTAACAACAGCAATGTAAAAAATCTTCAGAGGGGTAGCCAAGTTAGTCTGTAACAGGAAAAACTTAAAAAACAGCAAATTATCTAGTAGCACTTTGTAGACTAACAAAACATGTAGATGGTATCATGGGCTTTTGTGGGCACAACCCACACTTCTCCAGATGTAGCCAGGGTAGCACAGGTAGCAGTCACCAGAGGCATGTTCAGTCCAAATGAAGCTAAGCCATGTATCTGTTCCTACTGCCCACGGCACTTTGACTACACTGCTAGTTATACTTGTACAGGCTCAATGAGAGTTAACGTGTGTGCATTTCAGTAGGGGAATCTCACTTCTAGCTCATATCTTAGATGTGACCTAGCAGTGGCTCATTCTAGGTGTTGAGAAGGAAGATGCCTGAAACCCTGTACTGAAATAAGCTATCAACAGATAGAGCTTCTCTACAAATAACTGTGTTCATGAGTTTAATATCACTTTAAACTGCCCAGGTTTAATTGTTTTGCATTGATTCTTTTTAAAAATAAAACATTTTTTCCATCAGTGGCTTGTTTCTCCTGTTTCCTCCATTTACAGCTCATAAGTGTGGGTCTTGCCACATGTGTGTGGACCTATTCCCCACCCTAGGGCTGCTAGACGTTTTTAGAGATGTGTTATTTCCATGACAATGGCAAGTGCTTTGCATAACTCCCATTGAGTCATCAGCAATTCAGAATCAAAACCAGACTGGGAGTGCCATGACTAGGAATACAATAATTAATTAAATGGGATTTTTGAAGAAAATAGCAACAAGAATAGGGTGTGACCACATCAGTGGAAATCAAGCTGGATTTTTGTGAACAGGGGCTTGGAATGGACAGCAAAGACTAGAAGAAGCTTTGAGACAAAGTTGGCCAAAAATATACTGTGGCAGAACTGCTCCTAAGTCCAAAGGAAATGGGCTGCAGATGGGCTTTCTCTCATCCTAAAATGTGTTATTTTCCTTGTTGCATGGTATTTAAAGGCATAAAATACTTTTATCAAAACTGCTTTTCAAGGCTAAATGGCATTAAAAATGTTTTCTCTAGCCTGCCTTGCTATTTAGAAGAGCATGCTATTTCTTTTTAATTTGCTCACTCATTCCTGAATAACTTTTCATAGGACTCCAGACACTGCAGTGTGACAGCTAAACCAAGGAACATCGGATGCGATGGAATTGCTCTACAAGCAACCTTGCCAAAGGCCCTTTTGCTGCACAAAGCTGGCTCTATCTTTGTATATTGAGGGAGCTAAATCAATGTTAAATGCTTGGCTCTTTTCACAGGACAATGACCAGGACCTAAGCTGCGTCCTTCCTTTTTGATTGACACTTGAAACGTTGAGTTGGAATCAGCCAGAGGCACTGCTACAAGCTTGAAGCCTCTGCTGGGGATAACAACTGGTGACATCTGCAGAAAGGCCGACAAAAGGCAGTTGAAAGCTGTGTTTGTTGCTTTCCCCTCTCAGATCTCCTCCCTTTCATGGAGCTCCTTACTTGCTTTAATATTATGATTCAGCACCTGGCTCTTTTGAACCTTGCTTTAAACTTCAAAAGGCGAGGTGGTATTAACAAACATGAAACGAAAAAGTGGCGGTAGTTTGATTTACTGTTGTCGTCTTATCAAGGGGGTTTTTTGTCACCAGCTGCCACTTTCTGTCATCTTTGGAACCATTATCATTTCTCTAAAATCTAAAAGACTCCACTTAATAACAGCTTTGAATACAGGCAGGATCTGTAACATACACAGTTCTGGGGATGACAGGACCATCAAATGAAAAGAAAGATGTTGCCAAAAAAAAAAAAAAATTAAAACAAATAAAAGCTGTAGTACTTTTAAGTGACCTTGATTTCAGAATTAAACAAATCAAACCAAATTCTATTGTTCTTTTTGAATTCCATTTTACACTTTCCTTGAGACGTTTCTTTTTGTTCTCTGGACTAAAGAAAAACCAAACCAAACCTCGGCTTCCATTAAATTGCTCTGCACACAGTCAGCCCTGGGATCACAAAAACACCGTGAGCTCCCCACTTGTAAAACATACAATGCTAATTACCATTCTCATTTCACTGACATCCTAGCTCAACACTGAAGGGTAAAAACTTCACATTGAAATCTAGATGGAGACCTGAAACACTGAGGTAACTAGGGCAAAACCACTACTCTCAAAGCTGTGAAACTGGTTTAATTCATCATGTTTTCCTAGTCCTGAGATATTACAAGTTCTAACCTTCTCCACGGCAACCAAGCTGACCTCCAGCCTCCAGCACAGAACCTAAAATGCCTCTTACATCGCTAAAATTCCAGTGTACTGTATACAACTGGGTACTGACATTTATATGCACATTGCAATCTTTCCTTAGTGGGATCCTCATTCATATTTTATTTCAAATGTCATATTAGCTTTAGAAACAATTAAAAATTAGCTAGAGAGAGCCATTCCTCCTAGTGATTTCTGAGATCTTTTGAAATTAGGTAACAAATTCACCTTTACATGTAGTTTCTACCCATCTTATTTTGGCGTTCTTCCCCATTGTGTAATGTTTTATGTGACTGCAAAGTGAGTGCAAACTGCTACTAAAATGCTGTTCTGCACTCAACTTCCCCAGCTGTTGTGTTTTATGCTCATTTGCACCAAATTTATACACATGCACATAACTACACGAGCTACAAGACAGGGTGACTCAGGCCCTCTGTGTCTATTTTAAAATGGTATAAACGTTATATCTGGAATTTTGGCAGATCCCAGTATTGACCTCTGCTCTATCACTTACTGTGCCATTGGATCACTGGGCTCTTTAGGAAGGGGCTGTTTATGGAGCGGCAGCATGAACAAATACCTCCTGCTAAATAATTTCATTGCCAAAGACACATGTGTGTCTAGCCAGCTTGGGAAGAAAACTACTAACAAAGTTTCCTACAATCTTAAGCCCTCTATGGTGCAAAAATGCCTGTCATCTGATATAGTAAAGAGCAAGGTAGGTGAGGGACGGGGTTGTGATCTAGGTGAGGGGTTTGGGTGTAGGATGCCAGTGCTGAGTTGACTTGTCTTGAGCTGGGAGGTGAAAAACTCAAAATAATTGCTGTCTTCTGATGCATGTACATAAGCCCATTAGTGGTTATTTCTATACTTGTATGTATTACATGTGAATGCCCTATTGCAAGGTAGACAGTGAAATGTAGATATGTATCTCTTTTATCCACCAACAGCAGGAAATCCCAGAGTAAGAACCTGCACCATAGACAGGATCATCTCAGTGCATTGGGTCTAGTGTAACAAGTGCAGGAAAAAAACAGTTGGGCCAATTATCAACCAAAGACTTAAACTCTGACGCTGTCTTCATTGATGGATGCTGGAAATAGGAAAATAGAAGTAATTTCCCCCCTGAGATGTGTGACTCCAAGACAAAAGATAAGAACCTTCAGAAGAAATGAAGGGAGATCACGATGCTGAAGCCAGAGGGTCTGGAGCCTGACAAGGGATCTCAAGGTGAAATCCTCTTTTAAACCTCCAGCTCCAAAGCTCATGATAAGATCCAGGATTAGAACTGCTATAAATTTCTTCGAGCAAGGGAAGAATAAGAATGAGAAACAAAAATGGAGGATCTGAGGAAAGGGCCTATTGCCCATCAGAAGGGCCATATCGCTAGTGAGGCAAGCTAATGAGGGGAGCTAGGGCCTCTATAAACTTTAGTACAGGACCAAAATTATCCCTGTTGGAGGAGTAGGGTTTAAAGGTGCTTCATTAGATTTGGAAGGGGATGTAGGAGGAAAGGGAAATGAGTAGTGTCCTCACCTAGAGCCTGGTTTATGTCCAGAACCTTCAAGGTGTTTTGATCCTAGGGCACTACAATTTACATTAGCTACATGGAAGTCACTGATGCTGAGTTTGCCAGAGTGTACAGAACAGGGCAATTGTAGTGATTCCCCCTGTCTTCTTCTGTTGGTCAGAAGTAGTGATATGAAGTGAGAATATTCTCTGGAGAATATTCTCTGAGAACGAGAATATTCTGAGAATATTCTCCAAACGATTATTTCCCGAGAATTTTTGAGAATTTTCTAATTTTTCATTTCCTCTTGAACTAACATATTGTATTCAACTTTTAGAACACCCTGAATGTTAAAGAGCTTTCTTCATCATTTAAGATAGTTTGAGAACGTTATAGAACGTTCCAGAATGCTGTGGAACCTTCTAGAACATTCATGAGTCAGGAATTCTGACTGTTATGAAACTTTCTGGAAGCATCACAAAAGGCATATAAAGAGGCAATAACACATTTATTCTCTTTTGTGAAAGGTGTAATTGTGTTTTCATCAGTATGAAAAGGAGAACTAAGCCTAAAAGTGATGTGTGGGATTATTTTCTTCATAAAACAGTTAAAGTCAAAGTGTTATATGAATGTAAGTACTGCAAGGCTGAATACATCAGAAATACAACAAGGATGAGAAAGCATATTTCCAATTGTCTGACGACCCCTGCTTATATCAAGGAAAAGTCAACAAAATTCTCAGAGTCCAGAAGCAGATCACCTCAACCATCAACATCTATAGAACACTGATAGTGCTAGTGAATTTACACCACTACCTTTCACATCTAGTTCAGCTAAGATGTCTCACTCTATAAGTTGCTACTTTGATTCTATGAATGAAACTGAAAATGAAGTTTTGGATAAATTTTTTGCATGAGCGATATTCTCATTGGGATCACCTCTTTCACTGGTTGAAAACGAGGATTGGAGTACTTTCATGCAAAAATTAAGACCATATTACAAGATGCCATCCAGGTACACACTTTATAACAAACTTTTAGAAGCTGAATATCGACATTTTGATGTTCTTATAAAAACAAAAATTGCTGAAGCCTCTTCTTTTGCACTGTAGTGTGATGCTTGGAGTAACCGAAGAAATGAATCTATTATAAATGTTATTATATCAACACCCCAACCAGTGTTTTACAAGACAGTGGCAACCGATGTCGAACGCCATGCTGCTGAGTATCATAAATTTTATTATTTCAACACCCCAAACAGTGTTTTACAAGACAGTGGCAACCTATGTTGAACGCCATACTGCTGAGTAAATGGCATTCCATATGGAAGAAATAATGACAGAAATAAGCACTGAAAAATTTGGTGCCATTGTCACTGATAATGCTGCAGCAATGGTGAAATCCTTATCAATGCTTAACGAAAAATACAATCACATTGCTATGTACACTTGTGCTGCTCATACACTAAATTTGTTAGTTGGTGACATCAGTAACTTAAAATCTGTTCAAGAGACTGAAGCTACCTGTAAAACTATTGTGAAGGAAATTAACAAATCACAAGTTTTACGAGCTCATTTTACTGCATTTCAAAAAGAGAAAACTCAAACTTGTGCACTTAAATTGCCAGTTAAAACTAGGTGGGTTTTCACTTTATATTGTTTGAAAAGCTTATTGAAATTAAAAAAATGTCTTAAAATGCCTTGCTGTCCATGAAGATTTACAGACTAAACTGAGCAAACGTACCAGGAATTCAATCCTGGCTGAAGATGTATTTTGGGTACGGGTCCAAAAATTGCATGCACTCATAAGTCCTTTTGTTAAATGGATTACGCTGCTTGAATCTGACCAGCCAAAAATGAGCAAAGTTCCTGAATGTTTCAGGGAATTAAGCAATCATTTTGATAGGCTACTTCCTGAAAGTCCACGTACCAAACAAGAAAAACAGGATGTGATAAAAAGTTTTGAAAAAAGAAAAGATATGGCTCTAAAAGATATTCACTATGCTGCAAATATTCTAGATCCAAAATTCAATAGTGAGTGCCTAACTAGAAATGAACAAATACAAGGAACTGAATTCATTGATAAATTAGTCACAAGAATGTATGGCACTGATCACTCAGCAAAAGTCATTGCAGAGCTTGCACAGTATCATGCTAAAGAAGTTTTTTTTTGGAAAATCATATGTAACAATATCAGCTGGCTCAGTAGATGCAGTAATATGGTGGAAAGGTATTTGCTATGGATCAAAATTAGGGAAAGCAGCAATCAACATACTGAATATGCCACCAATAACGGCAACAACTGAAAGAAGTTTCAGTACTTATAGTATAATTCATAATGCAAAAAGAAACAAGTGAACACAAGAAAGGGCAGGCAAGCTGACATTCATAGCCCATAATATAAAGCTTCTTAAAAACCCAAATGATGCTCCATTGAAATCCCCAAGAGAAAAAAGGAAACAGAATCAGAGAACTGAGGAAGAAGAAATTGATGATGCTGAAGAGAAAGAAGAAGAAGTCGAAGAAGAGGATATGTATGAGGAAGAAGAAGAGATAGAAATACAGGCAGTCCCTGACTTACGCGGATCCGACTTATGTCGGATCCGCACTTACGAACGGGGCTTTCTCGCCCCGGAGCTCGCAGGCAGCGGTCCCGCCACCTCAACCTCCAGAGCGATAAAAGCTGCTCCCGGTGCCCCTGGTCTGCTGGGGACCATCTCCAGCAGACCAGGGACACCGAGAGCAAAGCCGCAGCCGCGGCGGGGTCCCGCGCCTCTGAATCAGCCTGCTGATCAGTTTCAGCAGCGGCTGACTTGGGGACACTTGGGGTTCTTAAGTTGAATCTGTATATAAGTCAGAACTGGCGGTCAGTTTCAGCAGTGGCTGAATCTGGACGCCAGTTCCGACTTACATACAGATTCAACTTAAGAACAAACCTACAGTCCCTATCTTGTACGTAACCCGGGGACTGCCTGTATATGGGTCAGATTCGGAAAGTGCAGATTCTGATTAGACTTGTATTGAATCCAGAAAGTTAACAATATTTGTATCCTGCAACAGTAGATTAGTAATAAAAGTTCAATTATTTTAAACCTCTG